TACAATGTGCTATACTCACCTGTTCCCTTCATTTTTTTCCCCCTATCTTTTGTAATGTGAATGGCATTTTCCCTCTGAATAGTTATTTTTTTAAATTGTATTTTAGATCATTTAATATTTTTTTGTCTTATTGTGAATGGGTAAAAAGTAGATATCAAGTATCAAGTACAACTACAGTATAGTTGTCAATATTGGGTGAACATCATTGTGATGGTTTTGTTCAGGTCTATCGCCAGCCCTATTTTACAACTTAACCGTGTTGTGCTTAACAGTTAACGGTTGAACCTGTATTACTTTGGGCACTACAGCTTCTTGTTTCTTTCAAACCTAGCTTGTAGCAGACGCGTGCACATTTTCCGCACGACGTCTTTGATCCACTGGTGTAAACGACACTTTGATTTGCTCCTCTTTCATCTATCGAACTGTTTCAAACACCAAAGTGTATGCAGGAAAAGTGGTTAAGATTGCACGACTGTCTGTGTCTTCTGTGTCATGTTGTATTATTTTGTCATTTTACGTTAACTGTTCTTTTGACGGCGGCGCGTTTGAATTCATTTTGAACAAAGACTAAAACTCAGAGAGTTGTCTGTTTTTTTCACTCTTGTTTATCTATGACAAATGAATCCAAAATATTTTATTTTGAACTTGAATTCTGTATCGTAAAGTGACAGTTCTGCCTTATGTCATAGGTGTAATAGAAATTCGGTGACTTGGTGTTGGTATTGGTGAATACTGAACTAGAGAGTGGGAAAATGTTATCGAGGAGGACCCACCGCCCCCAAACAATCTGTGTTTTCTATATTCTCTATATTGGAATTCCACCCGTTCCAGCGAGCTCTAGAATGACTCCACATCAATAAACTGGTTCACCATTCCACCGCGATGCTCAAATGTGTTCTTTTAATTAATAATTCTGCTTGACAAAAAAAAAAATAAAAAACCTCCTCCCCCAGCCTACATCCAGTTTTAGCAGCAGTGGGTTGGTCTATTTCCTCCCCTTCCCCCAAACGCCCTCATCAAATTTCCGCCACATTGAGGATGTTATTGTATGGCCGCACGTGTGGGATGGTCAACCCTGCATCCAATGCATACGAGTCGAGTGTGTTGTGACTCTTTTCCTTCCAGTGTGCAGCGTGTGAGTGGCACTTTCCAGCTGCGCTGTCACTTTCCACTCCGGTCTGTCATCCACCTGACATCTTCTGTCCCTCCCACTCTCGTACTGTCACATACTCATCATCCCTCTCTCCTCCCGCCTTTTTCATTTCTTTCTCTTCTTTCACTGCCAACCTTCCTTCCTTCTTTCCTTACCTTCAGGCCCACTTACCACACATTGTTGACCCTCACTTTCTGTCGCGGTGCAGGTTGTGATAGTGGAGGAGGAGTGGCTTAGTGACTGAGTGAGTGAAAGGGAGAAAGAGAGAGAGAGAGAGAGAGAGAGAGAGCGTGACTGTCCTTTTGTGTGTGTATTACAGTGAGTTATTCTTTACCCGTGCGCGCACACACATATACACACTCACGCACATTGTTGCACTGACTTTTTTTTGACTGAGACAGCAGCAATTGCATAAAGCAAGGATTCATTCTTCTCCACCATGTGGTTGCCAGGTGAGTGTGGACTACTTAATTTGGCAACCAATTACGCCAGGAGGGCACTGTGTGTGTGTGTGTGTCTAATTGGAGAGCAAGGGGGTAGCCTGTGGGCGGGGAGTTAAGGTGGACAGGAAAGGTCAATGTTATGTTGTGGGCAGTCTATACCTTGTATTTTTTTATTTTTATTCACGTATGATCTCATTTGTCTTTACGATCAGCAAAGTGCGTTTTGTTAAAGTTGGCCACTAATTTTGCTAATTTGCCGCACTACCTCATGTGCAGGTTAAATTTTGTCTGATCATTTTTGTGTAAATCACAAGACGTGATCGTGTTGTGATGGTCAGCTGGAGGTCAAGAGCGCTTGTTAGTACCCGCAGCCAATTACCTCTTAAATGTCTCCTTTCTCCCTCCCTCAGTGGTGAATCCGAGATGTCTTTTCATGTTATTAATAATTCTCCGTATGAGCTGGCTAAATTGACCCCCGACAGTGGTGCAATGATGCTACAAATGTCACAACAAACTAGAAATTCACCCGACTTAAAATGATCGAGGTTACACAATTGCTCCATTTTTACTGCTGACTTTTTTTTTTGTTTTTCTCCGATTAAAAACTTGTAGATATTTTTTTTCTTTCATTGTTCAGTTGCATTTATGTATTTAATGCACTTAACAACCCTTTTCGTCATAACATTGCCCCGATCGTCGGTTGGGGAGCAATTGCTGTATAAAGCACTCCCTATTTAATAATGAAAATAATAATAATCATAAAAAAGGGCAATTAAGTAGATAGTAATATGAAACAGTCAATGGTCCTTGACCAAGTTTAGTTTCATGCTTGTTTGATTTTTATTTTATTTTTTTAGTCCTCCAAAGGCCATGCGAACAAGACGAAAGTATGATTCAACAAATGTTGTTTTCTTCGTTCAATTTTTGAAACATTTGAGAAAAATGAACCAATGTGACTGAAACCTTTTCTTTTGCATGAAATATACACTGGTGTCTTGAGATGCTAGTGACCCAGATTAGGTTTTTTGAGTTCTGAGCACTGCATTGTGACAGTGAACTCGGCTCGCTTAATGTCAAATAGTCAACAATTGTTCAAAAAAAAAAAAAAAAGAAAAAAGAGAGGCTTCAAGTTTCTATTTCCACGCTCAGTTGAAGTGTAGTGTCAAATTAAACATAAAGTAATGAGATTTACATGTTTCTTTCAGAGCAACACAAAGCTTAGCCTTTAGTGTGCGATCTTAACGCCAACGCCAACACGTAATGGGTAATTTATGGACCTTTTCAGGAACTGATATTTGAACTCAAACAAGGCAACTTAGACATTCAGTATAACAGCACTCAGTGATTTAGTCTTTGTCCTTTGCGAGGAGCTGAGATGTCACACATCACCAAATGTTCGTTGTTTCCATTCATTTCCATCGTTGACTTGAAACTGGAGTGGTTTGAGTCACAAATGTGGTCACGGGACAAATTCAACTCGTATCTTAAGGGCACCACTGTGCAGCGTTTTTCATTGGAAGGAAAGCTTTGCTCTCATAAACAACTCCAAAGTTTTTTTTTTTCCCTAGCCACCAGAAAGACTGCATAGGAGGACAAATAAACCAAAGTCAAATGGAATAAATTAATCGTATTGTGTCTACTGACAGAGGAGCATCGGTAAAATAATCCCTTTTAGTGTATAGATTTTATTTATTTATTTATTTATTTTAATAATTGAATTTCTCCTCACTGTGGTCATAAGTTTCTTGAAGAGCTTCGGCCAGAGGAAATTATTTAGAATTTAGTGTGTGCATTGCATCATATAAACATGACACCGGATTATACAGCACAAAATGTTGCACAGAACTGCTGAGATGCACTCGATAGGAGCATATCCTCCGCTGGGTCATCAGCGGGCCAAATGAGCACTCTTTTCGAAGTGTTTCCTTGAAAATGACGTAAAAAGGCGGCACTATTATCTGCTTGTGCGTGTGGGGTGTTTGAACATGCTAATGTTACCAGTAAGTAACACACGCTACTAATCTTATAATGGGGAAGTAACGTGGGGAAGTGAGAGGACGCCAAAGCATCTTGATGTACTGTTCCTCCGCACACCATTCAGCCGTTACGTTAGCCGCTAACCTCTTCGTGTCATCTGGGAATCGATATTGGCCGGGACTTCTGTCCACCGTGCAAGCTTGCCAGCAAAAAGACATGATGGCCTTTTTATTACCCGGAAAGAAGAACACACAACCCCCCACGCCCCGCACCAGGAGTCTACTTGTGCCAATTGTGCTTTCAAGTTTGTTTTTTTTCTCCTCTGTTGCCACAACCCAAATGATGTCAAAATAAGAAGCTGTGTTGTACAAAATTGGGACATGACGAGTGAATGAATTCACGAAAGCTTTCGCAGTGTCGGCAATCTTTTAAGTAACTTCAAAAGTAATCTGATTTATGACTCACTGACTTGCAGTGTGTTCATGCCACACACATTTTGCAGAGTTGTCTTCGTGAAGGCTTAAAAGACTGCAAGTCAAACTTTTTCGGAAGCTAACAACTCTAATTGAAGTCGATCAATTTTTTCATATTAATTCATGCTTCATTTGCTGAAATTGTGACCTATGGCTAACTTACTCCGCAAGACTAAAATGTACGTGTGTGTGTGTATATATATATATATGATATTTTTATTGCAATATAAATTAATTAATTTATATTGCTTGTCTGTGTTAAAAAAAATACAGAGGAAGAGTATCTTAAAAATAATCGCATATTCAATTTCAATCACAAAAAGTATAGAGTGGAAAGAGGAGAGTGGGGGGTGAGTTTATTATGCAGGTGGCATGTTATAATTAGTTAGTCGTTGGGCAGATTTGCATGTTTTCACAAAAGGGAAGTGGCTGTGTGTGTGTGTGTGTGTGTGTGTGTGTGTGTGTGTGTGCGTGTGCGTGTGCGTGTGCGTGTGTGTGTGTGTGTTTGCGCACGAAAGGAGGGGGGGCTCTCGAACTGCATTGCGACTTCATCTTGCGGTTTATTGGCAAGGAAAAAAAAAATGAAGCAAAATCCTTAAATAGCACAAAAATGTGAACAGTTTCAACCATGAATCCACGAGGACCCGCAATGAATGACACACACACAAGACCTGTCACGGATCCAAAAAGTGCTCCCACGCAAATTGTCTCGCGTTAAATTTAGCCCCAGCCTACTCTCTTTAATTGGAAAGTATGAATGAATGAAAGCAAGTGGGCCCCGGTGCACTTGATGTGAGAGATTCACCCACCTTCCGTGTACAGTGTGTGTGGGGGGGCGTCACTGTGGTCTGACAGCACTCCCACCCTGTACCTCAAGGCTCCTCTCTTTCCTGTTGTCGTCATCAAAACGCTGTGCGCGGCCCAGATTTGAAAACATGCATTTGTGTGCTGCAGAAATCAGGATGCCAAGGCCAGCTGAACTTGAGAAACTTGGAGCTGACTCGCCGCTGGACAGCACAGGTGATGACGACGACGACCACAACTCTGCTCACACTCTCAACTTCAGTACAAGTATATGCAAACTAGCAGTACAGCTTTCGCAGTACTAAAAGGACAACTACGTGTTATTGGTGAGACAAAACTACTGGTGGATGTTTTGGTGCTCGTAATCGGATCCAAGATCCAACTCGTGCATGACACGAGCCTGAAAATGAGGTTTGCGGCACAATTTGGAATATTGTAAAGCAAGTGGTTAGTCTTCAAGTACTACTATCATGACCAACATTCAAATGCCGTCGCCTCGTTCAAGCCACTGCAACATTATAGGCAGTTTGAACATTACGCCGAATTTGAATTTAGGGATTTAAAAATTATTCTGAACGATGTTAAAATAAAAATATTCGAAAATATTAAATGCAAAACTGTGTTGTGCTGAAGTTAAATACGACTGAACGGTATTTTTTAAATGTCATGTAATGGATTAAAAAAAAAAAAGTTGTTCCTATACCATAAATGTTTGAGCCTTTAGTTCAGTGATTCTTTTGTGTATCGCTAGTGGTCCTCATACTACCTTTGTCAACAGCTGTTAGTGGAAATTGAGTTATTAACCAAAAAAAAAAAAGGCTGCTTTTGCTCACTCCTTTTCCCCACTTTTTTTCCTGCTCAGTGATCTTCACAATTGCTAGACATTGACTGGCCATGAGTATAAAACCCAATTTTGTCTTTATTTTGCTGCCCGTTTTTCTCCAATTCACATGATCAAATCTTCGAGCATCCAATTTGAATGATCACAATTTCAACCATGTTTGGATTCTTTTCAGTCATGTCAGTTTACTTGCATGTCAGTGCATCATTGTGTATAAAGTACACTCGGGAGGTTTCCCCCCCCCCCCCTTCCTTTTTATTCCACCACCGTTGAGGAAACTGCACTCAGTGTGTTGTAGCTATTGTTTGTCCTCATTGCTTGCTTTTGTCTTTCCATGCAGAATCCGAGCGCAATGGATCCGAATCTAATCACCAGGTACGTCATCACAGCTCCCGTCCCAGTTTCGAGAGCGCTTGTCCAAATGAGGGTCGCTATTGGCTGAGCTGGAGCCTACCCAGCTGACTTTTGGTGCGAGAGGCCGATGACAGCCTGGAATGCTTGCCAGTCAATATCAGGGCACACATAGACAACCATCTGTGCACCCATTGGTGGCTTTCAGGCTAGCCGAAGCTAACGACATGAGGCTAACCTTGATTCATGCTCTTTTATCCAGTGTGCGCCGGTCGCCTTCGTTTTTTTGCCTCATCACAACATCCTTTTTCAGCCGGGCTGCTTCAGACACCAAACCTTCTCAGTCCAAATCCAAAAGTGCACTTTTGGATTTGCATTGACGGTATGTAGTGGTCTGACAGAGATACCCCTGGGCCACCATTAGATGTGAAAGTCAGTGGTTATTTCTATTAAGTGGCAACCAGTCCAGAGCATACCTACCCTCTTGCCTAAAGTCAGCTGAAAGCAGCTCCAGCCCACAGGTGTCCCAAATGAGGAGAAGTGTTGTCGAAAAAGGACGGCCGTTTGCGGCGATGCAATATGGATTTGAATCCCCACTGTCGTAAACGCGGTGTCCCAAAATGGGTTAAATCCTGACATCGCCGGTAAAACATTTGAGTCCGAGCGAAATGATTGTCGCATTTCTTTTTGTGTGTGCTCTCCTTGGAAATGAAAAATCAGTTCTTCAATCAGTCCTTCGGTTCTGTCCTTTTTCTCTTCATCAAGGCTCAGTCAATGAAGGTCAATCCTTTTTCCCTTTCACCGAGCCTGAGCGGCGGCAAGGTAAGTGGCTTTTGTGACTCTGCCTGCGTGCGCGTCTTCGTGTTTGCTCGTCTTTTGTGTCTTAACGTGGCGCAGAAAATTGCTTGACGGCAAGCGGCAGAGTTCTGACTTGCTGCTTTTGTGTTCCTGCCTTAAGTAAACAAGCACGCCAGTATGGCGGTATCCCCCACACCCTTCATTTCCCAGAATGCCTAAATAAAGCCAACATTTGCATATGCCGTGGAAGAAATGCAAACGAGTGGGCGGGAAGAGTCTCGTCTTTTCTAGTTGAGACATGATCCATCCTGGACGGTATATTCATCGCTTTGTGCAAGTGAAAAGAACAACACGAATAGCGTTTTTTGTGTGTGTGTGTGTGTGTGTGTGTGTGTGTGTGTCCTCCAAAATTCTCTCGAGACATGTCACTTGTACACATCTCTCTCTTGGTGCATGCTGGGTTGACATGGAAAAAAATTATGAAAATAGGTTTCAAAAATGTTCTCTCCACCCCCAAAAAAGTCTTAAGGGGGATAGGGTGCACTGTAATATTCTGTATGTCTTGAAGTATTATACTCCCCCGTCATGGCCAATTGAATTGTCAAGATGCCCATATGGTTGACATTTTTTTTTGTTTGTTTACTATCTATTAAATTATGTAAGTAGTGAAGAGTGCTATTTTTTAAATTTTAAATGTTCGAAAGCTTTTTAAAAATTTTTGGTGTGCTGGAAGCGATGACTAGAACAGATGACGTCAGTGTTTTGAATTCATACACTAAGCCTTGTAGTGTAATTGTTTTTGGCGTGCAGTGCTATCTTGACTTCATGATGGCCCCCCCCCACCCCCACACACACATGAGCAAGGCAGCAGGTTGCCTGTTAACGTTTCCCGTTGCTTTCTTTCCTTTGTTCCTTTTAGAATAAGATGGAAGAGTGTGGCGAACCATCCCCGGCACTGGCTCCCTCTCACGGGCCCACCCCCTCCCAGACGGCACTGCAACACACACAACTCATGCTGACCGGGTCCCAGCTTGCGGGGGTGAGACCTCACGCACACACGCAAGCAGGTTGCGTTCAGAATCATGCACTTCGGCAAGGCAGGTTTGTTTGTATCGCACGTTTCATGCACAAGACAATTTAAAGTGCTTTACCGAAACCACTAAAAGCATGATAGAAAGAGAAACAAAATATAATACAAACGTAGCGGTTTGTATATAGTGAACGATATGAATTTGTTGACTGAAATGAACAACATTACAAAATGGTAACCTCACTATAGAGTGGCTAAGAGGTGAGTCCGAACACAGCCATCCATCCACTCGCGCCCTTCTCTCTTGCGCTCACTCTTTGCTTTTGCTTTGGCCCGCGACTTCTGAACACTTGCTCTCTCGCTACGGCGCCGCTTGCAGCTCACGGCTCTGTTGCCGGCGCAGCAGCAGCTCCTGTTGCAGCAGGCCCAGGCTCAGCTGCTGGCCGCCGCCGTGCAGCAGTCCAGCGCCGCGCATGCCGCTCATGCTGCCCACGCCGCCGCCCAGGCCACGCAGCAAGCTCAGGCAGCGGCCGCCGCGGCAGCCAATCAGCAGGCCCACAAGCGGCAGCAGCAGGCGCAGCAGCAGCAGCAGCAGCAGCAGCAGGCAGGACAAACAGGCCAGCAGGGTCAGGGACAGAGCACACAGGAACACACTGCCCAAAGCGTCCCTGCCCCACCTCCTCCACCCCAGCTTGCCCTCTCTCAGCCAATCCAGCTCACCGCCCAGGTACTGGCAGCCAATCGGGAGCCGTCGAATGCCTCCTGAGCAAGTCTTGACAACAGTGGTTCTCAAACTGGGTTCCGCCAGCCGTAACTTGCTGAGCCCCCAAAAGTAGTCATTGGTATCGAGGAAGTATGTTGGAAGTGATGCATCTTTGTGACGTGGGAGGAGCCTGGTCAAGCTCGGGTTGTACAGTAGCTTCCCCAGAAAAAGATAAAGGTGAAGAGGTGATTTTGTAAAATATTGCACAAGTTAGTTCTCTTTGACCGGCGTTCAGAATCTGAGATGAAAGTTTGAGTACCCCTGTTTCATAATTCCTTTTTTCACCTGGCATGCCCTTTCCCCCACCCCCGCCTCCTTCTGCCTCCACCCGCACTTCTGCTGCTGTCTTATTGTTTGACGTGGTCTTGGTGTGCTGTGGTCTGGTCTTCATTAGGACATCCAGCAGTTGCTGCAGCTCCAGCAGCTGGTGTTGGTGCCCGGCCACTCGCTGCCGTCACCTGCGCAGTTCCTCCTCCCGCAAGCGCAGCAGAGCCAGCAAGGTAGCGTGACCTTTTATTCCGAAAGGATCCCATCGTTTACTTGACGTCATTATTGATTTCAGGACTCCTATCGACACCAAATCTTATTCCGCTACCTCAACCAAACCAAGGGAGCCTACTGTCTGCTCAGAGTAGAATGGGACTGCAAGCACAGGTAGGAAGAATTCACGTTGCGATCGCTCTCATTTAAACAAGGAACCACATTTGGTTTCTTTCTGTGAAATTCTGTGTGCAATGTCATTATGGTTGGCTCAGATAAATTGAGGCAGGCGCTATTTGACTGCCACCAAGTCAAGTAGCTCAACTTGCTCAAAAAAAAAAAAAAAAAAGGAAAAACAGAAGTTCAGAACATTCATAGAGCTCCTTCCATCCATACGAAAATTTTTGGGGCATAAAATATCATAACAGAACTATAAAAATAGCTGAAAAAATGTTTCTCTCTTCTGCTTTCACAAAGAAATGGTCTTGAATTGGGCAGCATGATCGATGACTGTTGAGGCTGCGACCTTAATGCATATGAAGCACCACAGAAAATGGATGCATGACTCGAAGACATGAAAAGAATATTTGCAAACGTCAGATGCGTTGCAGTCGAGTTTCTAATGGCGCTTTCCCATTTCAGCGAGACAAGAGCATGGAGGTGAGCGGAGGCCTGACCTCGGTACCCCCCGTGCCCTCTCACCCCGAGGAGCCCAGCGATCTGGAGGAGCTGGAGCAGTTCGCCCGCACTTTCAAACAGAGACGCATCAAACTGGGCTTCACTCAGGTAAGTCGTCCTGTCCAACCTTGTCGTCCTCCTCGCGTCTGCCGGGTGGTTTCTTGCGGCGAGTCAATCTAGCGGCCATCCCCGCAGGGAGACGTCGGCCTGGCCATGGGGAAGCTGTACGGCAACGACTTCAGCCAGACCACCATCTCCCGCTTCGAGGCCCTCAACCTGAGCTTTAAGAACATGTGCAAGCTGAAACCGCTGCTGGAGAAGTGGCTCAACGACGCAGGTTCCACCCTCGTCCTTCTTTGTTTGGCCTACGTGACATGATGATGGTGATGCCAAGTGGGTCGATTGTGACCGTGTGTTGGTGACCGCCGCCCCTTCCAGAGACCATGTCCATCGACAGCACCCTTCCCAGCCCCAGCTCGCTGTCCTCGCCCTCGCTGGGCTTCGACGGCATGCCCGGCCGCCGCAGGAAGAAGAGAACCAGCATCGAGACCAATGTACGCGTTGCCCTGGAGCGTGCTTTCTTGACGGTAAGATGCGGGGCACCTTCTTCTTCTTCTTCTATTTTCTTCTATGTTGCAAAAAAAAACAATGTTTTTGTCACCAACTATTTTTAAAATGTTGTTATTGATTGAATTGTGTTGATTAAATCCCTCACATTAAAAGAAATCCAAAGTATTTTAAAATGTAATTCAGTGCTTTTACATTTTCTTTGCAATCATCAATTTCATGTTATGAGATAAGCATTTACACTTATGCCGATCCAAAATCTATCGATTAAAAAAGTAAATCAAATGCATTTTACTTTTGGAGTCAATGCTGAGACAGCTAAGGATGATCTAAAATATTTGTTGTATCTTGTCGAGTAGCATTTCACACCAATGCTAATTCAAAACAAAATTCGGTTTTTGACAACTTTAAAATATTTTTAGTAAACATTGTTTAAATGCTGAGAGAAGAGCATTGGAAGAAATATATATGAGATTTATGAACAAATAATTTTCTATATTTTTCACAATTTCACTTCTTCAAATGTAACTTGTTTTTGCCCTTGTGTGGATAAAGCAGTTCAGTTATTCATTAAATGCAGGAATCCTTTTTTTGTTGTTTTTTTTTTTTAATAAATAAGTATCCTGAATATCAATGTCACTTTTGCTATATCGAGTGGCCAATAAGAATGCGTTGATGTCACCTGATATGGATTTCCTAACAAGCTTGACATGTTGGGAGGTGCGCTAAAATGCTGCAGTGTGTTAGCCTTGAGCTTTTTCTGTTTGCATCACTCAGCATCGAATTTTTGATGAAAGACTGCACTTTCTTCTTAAGTGACAAAGTGAAGCGTAAACGTGCCGGTCGGCGTGGGCTGAATGAGCTGAGCTGTCGTTGCAGAACCAAAAGCCTACCTCAGAAGAGATCCTGCTGATCGCTGAACAGCTCAACATGGAGAAGGAGGTGATTCGCGTGTGGTTCTGCAACCGCCGGCAGAAGGAGAAGCGCATCAACCCCAGCAGCTCCACCCCTCCCCTGCCCAGCCAGCCCGCCAATGCCCCCGCCTGCGCACAACCCCACCTGCTACAGCCCGTGGTGCGTCAGCCCGCAACTTTGACATTTGACCTGCTCCATAAATGCCGTCTTCCCCCGCGATAGTGCCGCCCAGCTATCGCGCGGGCTATATATAGCTTAAATGTCACTGTTTATAGCCATCGTTTTTTTCCCCCCCAAACAAATTCTGTACAACTGGGGGAACTCAGACTTCATTGCTACTTCCACCCCTTTGCAGAATTTTTTTTTTTTCCCAAGGACCGGCTCACAATCATAATACTGACCAAACGCAGCTACGCTAGACAGCTATGTGTAGCCAATCCAAACAATCAACATGGGTTCCATTTATGTATGATCATCTCTCTTTTTTTTTTTGGCCCGAAAAGATGAGCAACCAGCTGTCCCAGGCCGTGACCAGTCTCAGTAGCACAGCGGCGACCACCATGTCCCCGATCTGCCCCTTGACCTCCAGCCTCACCTCTAGCTCCGCCCCCTCCCCAGTGACACCTCCTCCGGCTCCTCCCGCCGCTCCTCCGCGCAGCACAGCCAGCCCGGCCACACCCGGCCACAGCGCCCTCAATCTCAACGCCGGGTAAGATGCATGCCGAGAACACGCAGACTGCAACGCGGGCAATGGAGAAAGCGATGCAGACGCCGCCGAGTCATTTCGAAGCCAGCAAATATCGACAGTCACACAGTTATGCCGACCAAATACAGTATTTGTTTTTCCGACCTAAAAACACAAGATTAATAAATAATAAAGTTTCTCAAAATCTTTTTTTCTATTTTTCAGGGGAAATGCCTGTTAGCGGTACATCCTATTGATCTGCTCCTATTTATTTAAATTTTTATTGATTTATTTTAACCTCAACATGAACGCAAATAAATGCAGGCGTTAGATAAAGCTACACAGTTTTCCCCAGAGTCAAAATCAAGATTAAAACAATCATCTGTTCCAAGAAAAATGTTTTGTTTTTGTTTGTTTTTTTTTGTTTTGTTTTTTTTAAATAATGATCCTCTCTATTCTAAGTGCTTTGCGGCCATATGGTGGTGTGCCCACACCATTTCAAACTCTTTGCGGGGAGGGCGTCAGTCAGTTATTTACAGCTTTTCGGTCGGACTCGAGGCAGCGTCGTCTCAACAAGGCGTTCTGATCTTGTGCGCGCGTGTGTTCACAGCTTGTGGCGTGTGGGTAAAAAGAACGGTGAGGTGTCGAGCTACATCAGCGACTTCGCTGCAAACTTGAGGTAAGGACAACAAGCACGTCACACGTGCGTCACGGGCTCATAGCAAGGAGGCTGTTCTCGTGAGAATTTAAGAGGATTCTTGACAAATTCGTTGTACGAAAACAGATTTTTTTCAGGGGGGGTGGGGGGGGTTAATGCCCTGCACTTTGGCTGGAGTGTGTTGAGGTTTTTTACCTTCTGCAGTTTCCTTCGAAATTCTCATGAGAACACGCTGAACCGTGCAGCTTTGATGCAAAAAAAAAAAAAAAAAAAAAAAAATGCTCTTTGCTCCTTTTGGTTTCATTTTTACACATGACCAAACATCTACAAGTCTTTTTGCACCTGTTTGCTTGCATTTACAGTGAAACCTTCCCAAATCAAACCGCGTTTATTTTCCGGGACGCTCCTCAATTTGTTCACAATCCTAAGCGGAATTCTCCCCACTGGAAATTATGGAAATTGAACCTATCCATTTGGGGGTTGTATTGTATCATCATCATCTCGCCTTTTAACGTTAGCTTTGATAATGAGTTGATGGATGAAGCGTAAACGCTTGAGGTTTCACTGTATTAGATATCCTGCTATTCTTTTTTGAAGCTGCTAACCTTTCTTCTTAATCTTTTCTCTTCTGCCTGTACGTCTGCTTTGCACGTGTGCTGCTGCGTGTGTGCGTGTGACACACCAGGAACACTGTGATGGGTGTTAACACAGGGATGAACCAAGCCCTCCTCGGTAACAATCCCCTGGCCACTATTCAAGGTGTGTGTGTTTGCCGGACTAGAACTCCACTTCATTTCAAACATCATCAAATTTGCTCCGTTTTACCGAGGAATTTTTGGGCCACGAAAAGACATGTCTTCAAAAATATCTGTCCCCCAGCATTTGGTGGCGTGCGACAGCCCAATTCAGTGCTGTGCAAGCCCTCAAATATAAAAACACTTTCTAGAACATTAATGAACAAAAAAATATGAGGGCTGTCACAAACTCATCTTTTTGAAATCAGTTAAACAAACTATTTATGCAGCCTTGACTGTGACACATATATTTTTTCTTAAAATTAAAAAAAAATAAAATTCTTCCAAATATAAAAGCCTTTTGGATCGTAAGACTTTTTGCTCAGTGTATTTTTCTTTTCATTGCGGCCTCCCCATTGTACCATTTAAAGCACTGGTGGCCAACCCGCGGCTCACGAGCCGCATGCGGCTCTTTGGCTCGTTCAATGCGGCTCCGGGGCTTTCACACGACAATTTTCGAAAACGCCTCGGCGATGGCGCTGCCATTAAAACAACGGTGCTTAATACATAGAACGTACTACGTCAGCCTATCACCAATCCCGTTACTTGATTGACATAGAGGGCAACCAATCAGATGACTGAATCACCGCTCATGTGCAGACAACGGCACTAAGTGCTAAGCTAGTCTGCGAATTACCTCTGTTTTTAAGGCAGGGGTGTCCAATACGTCGATCGCAATCTCGACCAAGAGCCGTGATCGTGTGTGTGTGTGCGTGTGTGTGTGTGTGTGTGTGTGTGTGTGTGTGTGTGCGTGTGTGTGTGTGTGTGCGTGTGTGTGTGTTTGGCTCTTTGCAGTAACACAGTAAAAAATTGGCTCTTAGTCTCTGCCTGGTTGGCCATCCCTGATTTAAAGTCTTCTTCAAAGTAGACGTCAAAAATCCTTATCTGTCCAATTTTGCTCCAATGCCTTTTTTTTTAATCCCAAAAATAAGAGTTTTCTTCAAGACATGAAGAAAAAAAAACATCTTGGAAATCCCGTATGCAACTTTTTGTCTTGTAAGATGCCGACCCCCCACGCAAGTGTTATTGTTTCACTGTGGCCCCAATACTCCTCTGTCACATTTAGAATCAAACCACACCATCAAAATCCATCGTGTGTGAGTAGCCTCGTTATAACACGAATGTGCGTTTGTGTGTACATGTTTGCGTGCGCTCATCTTCCTCATGTCATTCTCTCCCTGCCTGCATCGTCTTCGTCACAAATGACTGACCTATTTATTCGCTACGACACGTGCCGCTCAGCGAGGAAACACACGTCGGGCCTCTGTTTTTGTTCGTGAGATGCCCGTGCGAACAGTGCAAAGGACATGTGATTGAGACAAACACAGCGTTGCCGCGGCAACGGCCCAATCGCACCTGTTGCCGCACGATGACTGACCTGATTGGTGACCACTTTGTGCCCTCCGTCAATCAAGGTGATGATAATAATAATGAAACAATTCAAGGTGCAAGCGGCGCTAAACAGAAGCGAAGCGGATGACTTCCCGTTCGATTCCACGCATGGCTCCTTGAGATTTTTCACATGTGCTAAAATATCAACCACAAATAAGGTGCTTTGGGTGCCTTCGGAAAAAAAGGCTCCAAGCACGCTGTTGCTCTCCCAATGTTTGGAAACTCCGAGCGTTGTTCAAGTGTGCCGTTCGGTTTTTCAGAGTGCAGCAAAAAAAAAGGAGCACTGGCGCACACTGGAAGTGCTCCAAGTCGGGACTTGGTGTTCATGTCACAGTGACTTTCCGAACGCACACTTTGTCTCACGCCACAGTGAAAATGCATTATTTGAGGGAGGTCTACTTTATCTTCACACGAAAAAGATCATTAGCAGTTAGAATTGACATCCATCCAGTGGTACTTCTAATTACGAAATTAATTGGGTCTGGAAGAAATTTCTTCAGGAGAAAATGTTGTAAGTAGAGACGCGTTTTCCATGTAAATGCCCTAATCCGTTCCAAGCCCGCCGAAAATTCAGACATAAATGTTTTCTAAAGCGTAAATATGCATCAAAATATGTAACAAATACATGTGGCAATTAGATTATTGCACAATAAATGAGTTGTGCATAATGTAAAAAAAAAAAAAAAAACAAAGAATAAAGAATAAAAATGATGATCATTTAACTTTTAACTGCGTCCTCATCGTTTTTTGCCCTATTTAGTTCATGTTCTCTCTCAGAAGTGGTTTTTGTCTGGCGTTTTGTCACAAACTGATCCAAGGACGTTTGCTTTTGTCAGCTGTTAACAATCCTTCGAAAATATCCAAGGCAAACATCAGCATAGTGAGCGATCGCCCGACTGGTGAACACTTTTTCTGGGTGAATTCACATTTACGCCTCATAGCCCGGGGGGGGGGGGGTCAAATGTCGAGGACGCTGCATAGACACAGCTCTATCTGTTTATCTATCTACACACACAGACACATTCGGTAGAGGTCCCTCTGAGCCAATGGGATGCCAGGATGAGGCTCAATGGCAGAGCAGCTAGAAGTATGTTGCGTTCAGGAAACGGAGCAGCGACTAGCACTCCATGCTGTATCTGTACCTTTCGTATCTTGCAATTTCTTTCGTATCAAGAGGCAATATTTTCCTCTTGAGGCATTTCGTAACTTGAAAATTTGGTATGAAGAGACGTTCGTCAGTAGAGGTACCACTGTACATGGATACATACGTCATTCCATATTCTATGCGCAATGGCGTATGTTCTTCTCACCCTTTTGCAATTTGTGTGTCCCTCAGCCCTGGCGGCCAGTGGTGGCCAGCTGCCCCTTTCCAGTCTTGAGGGCGGCGGCGGCAAGATGATGCTGGGGGCATCGGGCGGCCAGGGCGGTGGCCTGGCGTCCTCCCTTTTCCTCAACCACCCGGCCCTCCTCCACATGGGCCAGGGCCCGGGCGCCGGCCTGCTGAGCGCGGCCATGGCCAAGGCCTCGCGCCCTTCTCCATTCGCCCCCTCGGCCAGCAGCATCAGCCCCACCCTTTGCTCCCCCTCCCCCTGCTCCAGCCCCGCCTCCTCCTGCTCATCCAGCGAAATGGCACACAGCCCCAAGATGGAGTGACAGCGCTGGGCGGCCAATCAGAGAGGAGGAAGGAAGAAAGTGGGCCTCTCTGGCCTTTCACACCAAAGCTAGCTCTTCCTCTCCCTTGCGCTTTTCTTCTTTTTCTCCCGACGCCCTCCGTCCTTCCCTCCTGCGCTTTCCAATGCCAAAAACCCACAGAATGGAAGAGGAGAGAAGGAGGGAGGGAAAGAGGTGGGGAGAAGGGGGCGGGAAGGGGAAGACCGAAACCAAAAATCTTTTTTAGTTTGTTTCATCAGCATCAGCGTGGCACCTCAAGACTCTCTGAGCAAGAGAAGAAAAGCGGAGAGGCCTGCCATCCGGCGCCGAAACCAAAAATGACAAAAGAAGACCAAGGAGGATTTTTAAAATGTATTTATTTTGCGGGTCTGATGAGAAAAGCGGAGGAGGAGACGCTTGAAACCAAAAATAGACCTGAGGAGGAGGAGGAGGAACACACAATGACAAAAAAAAAAAAATGACAACCATACCAAAATCCCAAATACCAAAAAGTACGGAGAGAAAAGCTTTATTCCAAGGACATGTAAATAAATAGTCAAGCTATCCAGGACCAGGACTCCACTGCTACACGTGCATTGTCATCCATTTCATAAAGATGCTACAATTCGCTTCGCATTGCCTTTAGATGTAGCTCATCATCTTCATCATCATCATCATCATCATCCTCGTCATCTCACCTCCGGTAGCGCGCTCCAAACGTAAGACCGAGCAGCCTCTTGGATTGGAAGCCGCAATCGCTCAGCGCTGCCCTTTCGCCAATCAACCCGTGTCCATGTCGTCATCCATCGCAGCCATCCGTCCACACGTCCCACTGCCATTTAACGCTCAAAACGGAAACCAAAGCATTTTTTTCCAAGGCTTCGAGGTCTTCTCCAAGAGCCTCGTCCGAGACACTTTGACACCCTGACGATTTCGCGGCGGGATGGGAGTTCAAACCAGGACTCAGTACCCATCTCCCCCACCCCCGCCACAAACCGTCACTACCGGGGTCATCAGCGCAACTTTAAATCCCCACATGGAAAGTTTCCCGGTTGAATAACAAAACGGGATAGTTCAGTTGAACCACCTGTGGCGCAGGTTTGTCGAACGATTTTTGGGGTAAGTTGGTTGAACCACCCGAAAATGGGTCAGTTTTTGCCCACTGGAGGTCAGTTTTTGCCCACTGGACTGCTCACCAGGCTTAGGGTGGGACACACGGCTGTGACGTCACACCTTTTCTAAAAGGATACCAAAAATAAACCCAAACCAAAAAGAGACAAAAAAAAAGAGGACTTGAACGAAGCAAACCAAAAATCACCAACCAAAATGTGTGCGGAGGGAGGAGAGGTGGCTTTTGGGGCGGCGCCCTCAGTGTGTAGCACAGGCGGAGTGCCAAATATCTGCCAGGCGGGGGCCCCCTCCAGCCTCCCTCTCCGGCCCCGCGAATGGAAGCAAACGCGAACGACCTCACTGAACTAAGTTTCTTTTCAAAGAAATCCTTCGTTTTTGTCGGGTTGCTGTGATGCCGTTTTATTGTACTGTACCTTTTAGTGCTTATGACCACTGTTTTGAACAACCCGCTGGCTTACTACACAAAGCTTATTTTATTATTATTTTTTTTTTTTGTAGTTGTGCTAAAAAAAAAAGATCAGGTGGTTGGATAAAAAGGAAAAAAAATAGCTTCCAGAATTTTTTCCAAAACGCCAAAAACCAAACAAACCAAATACACATCAAGTGACGGTCTGGCCAAACGGAGCAGTTTAGTGTGTTTGGGCTGTTGTAGTGGGCACCAAGTATGAGACATTGTCGCCATGATGACTTTGCAGGCTCGCTGGCGCCCCCTACAGTCGCAGGCAGGCGTTTACCCAAAGATGACTTGGCTTCGACGCGGAGTTTGGCTCCTAAAAGGTAAATAAAGCCTTTTTATCCACGTGGACTCTTAGACGGAATGTATCTGTTAGTGCTTCTATAGAATTTTTGTAGTACCAAAAAAAAAAAAAAAAGATCTATGTTCTACTACTGCTTACTTATTGCCAATGTATTAAAAAAAAAGATACTTAAAAACATTGACTTGATTTTAGACCAAAACGTTTAACTATCTCTCTCTCTTATTTTTAAATTTAGACTTTGGATTGTACTATTTATTCAGGGTAGGGTTGAGTTTTGTTCCTTGCTATTTATTTAAATTATTTTGTTTTCATAATATTCTGGGATGGATGCGACGATTTTGTTAGCCCCTCCCCCCGATTTACTTCAAACCAAATAATCCCAACCAATGCAACGAGGAGTTTTCTCGTGACTTGGAAAATGCAGGCGGTACTCGGTTTACGGCAGTCCTGGCGCACGAGCTTTCCGAACGTTGCGCTTGGAACTCGTTTGCTGGGCGGTGTCGGAACACACGAGAATTTTGTGCTCAGTCACCACCGTACTTACCGTTTTTTCGTATGTTTTATATTGATGGCCTGGAAGTGTTTTTCATGTAAATATTCACTGTAATTATGACTACTCCATTCGCGTAAGTTCGTGATTGACTGTGGCGTATCATTTTGGGTTACGCCGTCGTAAACCGAGGACCCCCTGAAGATTTTTTTTTTTGTACAGTAACGTGTTTGTAAGCAGAGCAAAAAGTTGACTTTGACGTGTTGAAACATTTTTCTCCACAGAGAAACTATGAAAGCTTTACTGCTGTGTGACCAAAAAGACGCAAAACACAAAGGATGTTTTGTTTTTTTAATTGTGAATCAATTTCGTCCCGTAAACTTTTCCTTTGTTTCTTGATCTTCTGTTTGGGTTTTTTTTCTTCATCCAAGTGGTGGATGTAAAAGAGAGAGTTCATCATATACCTCATATTCTCTGATGATAAACCAAATAGATGAATGCTTTAAACAAACAAAAAACAAAAAAAAATGTGGTTGTGGGGGGATGACTCCAGGATGTTGTGCTGACGCAAGTTTGGGGTCTGACACATGTGCCTCTATCACACTGAGAGCTCTGAAAAAAATTAGCACAACACAACCATAACGGAGGCTGATTTTCATTTTGCGCTTTCACACGTGGCAGCTCCGTGGTCGAAGAAGCGATGATGTCATTGCCAACATCTGTTGCGAAGTCGGTGCGGTTTCACATCGCACGCCAAAAAAAAATCAGGCGGTGCTAAATTGCTTTGATTTTGGTCTTTACGATTGTTCTGAAAAGCCAATTTGCTGAAATTCGTGAAGTTCTGACCCCAGTCCCGCAGGTGGCAGTATTGCAAATTTTGTCGTAGGTCGTAGGTTCGATCCCACCTCCGGCCTTCCTGTGTGGAGTTTGCATGTTCTCCCCAGGCCAGCGTGGGTTCTCTCCGGGTACTCCGCTTTCCACCCACATTCCAAAAACATGCATGGCAGGCTGATTGAACACTCAAAATTGTCCCTTGTGTGAGTGTGAGCGCAGATGGTTGTTGGTCTCTTTGTGCCCTGCGATTAGCTGGCAACCGCTTCAGGGTGTCCTCCGCCTACTACTGCCTGAAGACGGCCGGGATAGGCTCCAGCTCCCCCCGCGACCCTTGTGAGGATAAAGCGGATCCAAAAATGGATGGATGGATAATGCGCTCGGCGTGAAAGGGGCTCGAGTGACCCACGCTCTCGTCAGCACACACAACCCCGTGCAACCCCGACAACCACTGCCCTTGGGAAAATCCTCAACCCCCTTGGAAAACCCTTGCTCTCCACGTTGAGCTTTGAAGGCCGCCCTCTCCTCTTACCCTGGACGCTTCCTTCCTGCGAAACCCGTCTGGCATCGACTTGCCAATCTGGCCCAAAAAGGGATCTGTTCACAACTTGAAGTGCTTCTCGGGGCTTCCAGAGCAGCTGCGCAGAATCAGGAAGCGGGCCCGGGGAACCAGGGAAGGGCGGCCGGAAGGCGGTCGCCAGGTGGCACGTCCCCCCGGTGAATCTCTGTTGGAGACCATCATATCTCTCTGTCCAGGCGGGGGTCGCCGCGGCGTGGAGGTGAAACTCAGGCTCCCGGGGCGGGGGTTGCCCCTCTTTAGCGAATGATACCAAAGTCTACGCCCCGCCCCCAGAGAATGCGGCGCTCCCGCTTCCTGACGTCCGCTCCACGCCGCTTCACCTCTGCCAGACTTTGGCAGCTTCATTCCTGAATGTGAACATTTCCTCTCTTCAACTGTTTGCCGCCGTTAGTGTAGAAAAGCACAAAACTGATTTTTATTTATTTTTTTTAAAACAACTTTGAATGTCGCTCATTTTTATTTTCAGGCTAGCTTTCGCACTTTGCTACTGTTCTTTAGTCTTATGTTAAGATCATGGTTTCTTTAAATTTTGAATCTTGGACTTTTGCTTTAAAAGGCTAAAGTAGGTGCTTTCAATATGATTAAAAGTGTTTCAGAAAAGGAATGAAACTGCTGGGAGGTGATATCAGCGAACTCGCATTCCGCTACGTTGCCCTCCGACTTCTGTCATCACTTTTCTTCTCTCTGTCCTTCTGTCTTCTTTCAATGCAACTTTCGTCCAAAGCTTTTTCTCGCAGCCACGCATTCCCAAAACAAGTCCCGCGTTTCAAAGAATCAAACCAAAGAGCTCAAACTTTCTTGATTCCGCTCTCAAATCATGTCACCTAGCGACCTGCCGCTCTTTTACAACCTCAGCTATCCAAAGGGAAATAATGAAGATAATGATGATGAAATGTATATTTTTGAGTATTTGTCATTGGGGGGGAAAAAATAATCTGAGTTAGGATTATCTTGACGACGATAATAATGAAGTTTCTCTTGGTATCTTTGTAGTTGTTCCGACCCTTCTTGAGTTCTTGTCCTTTTTCTGCCAAAGTATACCCCCACCTTCCCCCGCCCCCTTTGGCCCCGATGTTTACTCCCCACGGTATATTTGAGTGTGTGTTGGCGCGTTTGTTGAGGGGTTTCTCTGGGAGTGATCACTTGCCAACTTCCTCGTTCATGTAGCTTTATTTTCCCCTGTCAGTCTGCGGCGGATGTGTTTGAACGTATGGATGATATTATGCCCCTTGACTTCCTATTGTGACTTCCATCATGTGAGCCCCCCCCCCAAACCCTCGTAGTAGCGATTTTTTTTTTGTGTTTAACTCGAACCCCCCGCCCCCCAAAAAAAAAACAAAAACAAAGAATACTCTGCTTGTTCATTGTACAGTGTTGTTCATTTTAAGTCATTTTTGTAACTGAACGTGTTTCATTCATCCAAATAAAAACAGGAGACAAAAACTATACAGGTGCCCCTCCCCACTGCTTCTTCCGACAGCACCAAAGCCTGTAGGGACACAATTGCGCCGCCAGATGGCGCCAAAGGATTTATGAATGGCAGAAAGACAACGTGAGACCATGGGAGAAAATGGACTCGCATAGAATGGAGTGGAAATTTCAGGGGGACCGGAAGGTGTGTTCCCATCCCCGGTAAAATGTATTGAGTGGGACTCGAGAGAGAGAGAAAGGATTTATCGTCGACCGCGCGTCGGGAAAGAAATCCTGCCCCAAGTGTAGGGGATCGAGTATCTTGTGGTCTTGTTATCAGGTGAAAGGGAGGATCTAGCCAAAAGATCGGCAGGTGTATCGGTGCGGCATCTGCAATGAGGCGAACTATATCGGACCATCGTGGTGAAGAGGAAGCCGACCTTCCCTGCTCAAGTTACCGCCTCCGAGACCCGACCTCGGATGGATGATGTCGGAATCTTGATCTGGAAATACTCAAAGGGAAAATGTTTTCCTGCCCGTTCTCAAAAGTAGAGTCAAGCAGATAATTGCCATTGCAACTGAGCTGTCCCCAACTCCAAAGTCTATCGAACCAAAAAGTGTGTGAGACTCCAACTTCAAAAGTGAATCTCTTTGTTGACAAACAAGCGGGTAATTAAAACTCTTGCCTATTTGACGATTTAATATCACTACAACATACATTTGCATACAAGCGAGCCGAGCAGACACAAACACATGAGAGCGTTTGTTTTGGCTTTTAACGGTTTTTAATTAACCCTGATTACAGCGTAATTACAACTTTTGGGGAGGGAAGGGAGGAGCGGCTGGAGAAAAAAAAACCAACCCACAAGGAGGGGGGGGGATGATGATGTTACGTCATGGGATTAATTTATCTCAGCTCCTCTCCGGGTCAGGAGTGTTATGTAACAAGCTCGTAACATTTACACAAACAATAGTCCAAACAATCTGAGTTACCCCCCCCCCCCACGCCCCGCAAAATGACACAACCTCCCCCCAAGGTAAAAACTACAAGATTAAAAAAAGACTTTTCAGGATGGAAAAATAAAGATAAAATGGATAAGATCGGACTCATTTGAGTTCTAATACACCAGGTTAAGTCTCTCAAAAGGGTAAAAGAGGCCCGGCGGGGATTTGGATGTACATGACAGAAAAGGCGGTGGAATAATAAGTCATCATAATGCCAAGTGAGAGGACCTTAAGAACAATATTCACATCAGAAAAATAAACTTTTATCCTCTCGTTGAGAATCTTTGTGCTCCGTTTTGTAAGCGAGGGAAAGATGCTTTGGGGGAAAAAGTCAGCAATAAGGCAGTGGTTAGTGACAAGTACACGCAGGCGGGCGTGTGTGTGTGTGTGTGTGTGTGTGTGTGTGTGTGTGTGTGTGTGTGTGTGTGTGTGTGTGTGTGTGTGCTCTATGCGTGAGTGACATGCTCTCATCCAGACAAGAGTGAGGGGAATTTAATCACAGAGCTGCCTGGGGGTCTTATGGATCTGTCTGGTCCCGTGACACCAATAAGTGCCAATAGTGTGTGTGTGTGTGTGTGTGTGTGTGTGTGTGTGTGTGTGTGTGTGTGTGGGCATGCACACATAGGAGAAGAGAGGGCATTTGGGGGCATGAGTCAGATGCTTTCTTACAGTAATGATTAACCTTCTCAACACCTTGTTGGCTCTCCTTTCGCTCTGAGCTGCGCATGCGCGCGCGCACACACACACGCACGCACGCACAGGCACTCACGAGGTGATGCACAACCCTGGTGTTCAGGTGTGGCTGCGAAAATGACTGGTAAAGATAGAAACAAGATTAAGAGACCAGGAGTCACCCTTCGGACAATTTGTTCCTCTCTCTTTCGCTCACACACTTACGCGCACTCACTCGTGGGAAGAGGAGGGGGGGGGGTGACACTGCAGGGGCCGTGAACAGAAAACAGTGTACGGCGTGAAAAGGACTGTAAATAGCAACACGATTTAGGGTTTTACTCATAATCCCAATCTAATCATGAATTACCAAACTCTCACGTGTACATACTCATGAGAAAAGTAGCCATGAAGGGTTAAGGTTGATGTTGGAAAAACGACCAACCCCCCCCCCCCCAAAAAAGTTTCACGATTAACCATATTCCAATTTGCCCTCGCACACACCCACGACCACCCGCTCTTTTTTCCGCATACTTTGTCACACACTCAACTCTTTCAAACATTCACTTTCTCTCACACACGCCAACTCTCACTTGAATTTTTCTCCATATACTTTGTCATATACACTCAGCCTCTCACGCCCCCCATCATTCCTCGGATACGCTCTCTCAGTCACTCACTTTCTCAAACGCTCCCCAACAAACTTTCTTCTCATACTCTCATTCATTCACACACTCAAACTCTCCCTCACTCTCATTTTTTTTTTTTTTGGCCACAAAAGCTCACTTTCTCTCTCATTCACTGACTTTCATCCATTCACTTTCTCTCACACATTTGTACTCTCACTATACTCACTCACTCAGAAGGTGTCTGTCAAAGATCACAGCACTCTCACACACTCTCCGAGTTGATTCCGTAGTGCTGTCCGGGGATTATCGATAGGTGACATTCTTACAATTTTAATTTGAAATAAATTGTAAAATAAGTGTTAAAAAAAAAAGCCTGTGAGAGCATGTCAAAGTGTGTGTTTGCTGGCTGAGTTGACCTCATATATATTTTTGTATGTGTGTGTGTGTGTTGATTGTTAGAGGAGCTCAGGCTGGTGAAGTGTGTGTCAAGCAAAGTCGTTCTTGGTCGTCAACGTTAGGCTAGGGTGTGTGTGCGTGTGTGTGTGTGTGTGAGAAGCTTTTCTCCGAGAGCGGACCGTCGGCGGCAGCCAGGAGGTCAGGCGGGGCACAAGGGAGCTCTGGGAGGACGCCCGTTCTGTTTTTTTTTCCTTTCCAGACGGCAACTGGCTTCCCTGAGCAGGTTGAAGAGCCATGCGTCAGCACCCGACACCCTCCGGTTCTGAAAGAGCCCCCTTTGCCCGCCATTTTTCTCATCCTCCCGCCAAGCGAGGCGAGTAAATGCAGGCACTTGTCATGGTGGGGATGCGGTCGGGGGGGGGCGGCAAAGGGGAAACCCCTGAGGAGGAAAAGGAACAAGAGGCAGGAGTTGCGCTTCGGAGCGCGACTGGCCTTGGGGAAAAGTAACCGTCCGCGAGTCCGTCTGATTCCAGTGCACTCATGATCTGTTTCCACCCGGCGGTATCGTTCGGTTTTCTGTCGCGCTTGTCCTCATTCGAATGGCAGGTGAGCTTGTGCCTGTCCCTGATGACATCAGATGAGAGCAAGTGTACGCCCTGGAACGGTCGGCGGCCGATGACAGCGCACGTGTAGACAGATGTGCATTAACCACGAGGCCGCCGTGCAATCGAGCCCAATTCCAAGAAACATTGCTAACTTTACGGCGGTCAGCCGCTGGGGTACGAAGCGTAAGAGAAGGGATGGGTACCCAAGTCCGGACTTTTTTATTTTTTTGTCAACGGAACAAAGATAAACACGAATAAACGCACAATTATTGAGCTTTGTTCTTTGTGTCACTTTTTAACTTTGCAGTTAGAACTTTGCAATTTGTATTTTGTAATATTTCTACTATTTAGACTTTATTCCTGACAAAACATTAAATATTTCTTTTTATGCCATCCTCTGGCTCATTTTTTTTTTTTTTTATAATTCATTTTTGTCGTTTGTCAATGTTTTGAAAACATATAGATGTATTTTTTTCGATGCTAATGTGAATACTGGTGCAGCCTGAACTACCAGAGACAAATTCCTTGTTTGTTCGACATACTTGGCCAATAAAGATGATTCAGATTCTGGTAAACAAAGACAAAAGTACCCAAAATTGGTCCCGTTGCGTATTGGTATCAATACCTCGGTGCTGGGAATCGGAACCGATCCGTTTGAAATGTGACGGGTGCCCATCCCTTTTCCGGCGTGCAGTTCATGTCAGTATCGCCATCCCCCTGATGAGGGTCTTTTTAGCATCCTGCGGCGCGGCAAACGGAACCATACCGCTGGGTGGAAACGTGGCTTGACAGTCGGTGGACACGCACCGGCTGAAACAAAGGTCCCAAATAACGCGTCCCCAGAAGAATCCTGCGAGAGAACTTGTCGGTGGGGGGGGGGATCTGTCGGAGTAAGGCGAGTAAGAATTAAGGTGGTTGAGGTGACGGTTGGGCCGGGCGGGGCCGGGCGGAGAGGCTGCGGGGCTGACAGAGTTTCCATTGACACGCCTCCGGCGTCCGAGGCCATCAGCAGTCTTTGTTCTCCAGGGACAGCTGCGCCGTGGCGCGATGCAAGTCGGCGCTTGCCCGCCGATGCGCAGGCAAGGGCTGGCCTACGGAGCTCTGATAAGCGGACAGAAGCGGGCCGTCCGCTTCGCCGGGGCCGTCCTCCTCGATTTGCATCCGGCCGTTGCTCCGACGGAGGTCCCTCTGCTCCTGGGGTCGGACCTTCTTGTCGTCCGACTCCTCCTGCGAGGCCTCCATGCGCTGGTCTTCACTCCAGCGCCTCTTGAATCGCAGCTTGAGGGGGATGCACTTGGTCTGGGGCGGTGGCGGATGGCGAGGAGGGCTGGCGTCCGCCGGCTCGCCGGGCTCCGTCTTGAGGGCGGGCGGCCCGCGTTGCGAGCCGGTGGAGTAGCCGTGCGGTGAGGCCAAGAAGGGCAGGAGGCCGGGCGGAGGAGGGGCGGGGGCTTTGAACACATCCTCATCCAGGTCCTCGTCGGGGAGGGACGGGTGGGCAGCCGAGCCGTTGGAGAGGAGGTGCTGGTGGTGGTGCTGGTTTGGGGCTCCGGAGAGGCGATGCGCAAAGACCTCAAAGTCGACATCGCGCTCGTCGGGGTCTTCGTCACTGATGTCGGTTACCTCCACCTCTTCCTCCGACTCGATGTCGGAGATGGGCTCCACCTACGTTGGAGAAACAGGAAACAAAACATTCAAGGTTCTTAGCCACATGGAACACACACGGAGTCTCTCCATAAATGTTTGATCAGATTTGTCCTTCGAAAACAACAAGGTCACAAATGAGAGAGCCTGTAATTGACACACGCACGGCACATTTCAAGGGTAAAATAAGCCGTCTTTGGAATTATAAAAAAAGTGGTTTTGGTTTGTGGCATATCTTCACTTTACACAATCATTTTCTTTTTGATTTTTTTTGCTTTTTCCAGCAGGACTCAATCCCGGTCCGCCATGATTATTTATCGCTTATGGTATGTTTTCGAACAATAATTTTTAAAAAAACAAAAAACATACAAAGGCCTCTGACCTTTATTTTGGGAAGGCCCGCGCTGTTCAGGGACTGCGTGGAGGAGGAGGCAGAGATGAGGCCGGAGCCGCTGGCCGAGCTCAGGTCGCTGCCAAACGACAACGAGGAGCCCAGGCCGGACGTGGACGACATGGAGCCGGACCCCGAGGCGGAGGACAGCGAGCTCTGCCGGGCTTTGCCCTGCCCCTGCCCGTCTCTTTGCTTGCGGCCCAGCGGAGGCGGCTGCAGCTTGAACTTGAAGGGGGACACGTGCGGCGGCTCCTCGCCCAGGTGGAGCGTGTGGTGCAGCGGGTGGGAATGGGGGTGAGGGTGCGCCGAGTGAGGCTGGTGCTGATGATGGTGGTGGTGGTGGGCGGAGTGAGGGAGCGGGGCGTGGTGGTGCCGCTCACCTCCCCGTTCCCTCTCGGCTCGCTCGGCCGCTCCTCGGTCGCCGCCCGGGCCCGCCTTGTCGGCGGCGGGCCGGTGAGGCTGAGGGATGACGATGTTGGGGTACTGCAGGAAAGCCCGGGGGCTCAGCCCGTAGTTGTAGACCGACTGGGTATGGGCCTGCAGGTAGCGCTTCATGTCCTCGGGGTTGAAGGAGAAGTGGGAGCCCAGCATGGGCGAGAGCGTGGGCGAGGGAGTGTAAGCCAGGTGGGACGCGGGCGTCATGCTGAGAGCCGGAGACAGTGGCGGAGCCAGGAGGCCCGCTCCTCCCGGCCCGGGGAGGGGCGACACGGGGAAGGGCGACAAAGGCTCCGGGTGCATACGGTGCCCGGCGGGGCCGCGGGAGCCCGGGTGAGCGCCGGGGTTGCCGGCTCCTCCGTAGATGCGGAACAGAGACTCGTGAGACAAGCGGGGGTGGATGATGCTCCGAAAGCCGCCCCCTCCGCCTCCGGGCCCCCCTCCGCCGCCCGCGCTCCTCTCCGCCCTGTCCTCCCCGCCGCCCGTACCGCCGTCCTCAATCTCCGAATTGACGGAGGTGCCGTCACTGCAGTCGCTGACGGAGCCGCGGGCCACCCGGCGGGCCAACGAGCCGTACAGGCCTCCGGGGCTGCGCAGGTCCTCGTTCGGGGAGAGGACTTCGGAGGGCGTGGAGGGAGGGAAGCGGAAGTGGGTCCCTGCGCCGGAAGGGACCGGAGGGGCGCTCTGAGGGACGCCGTTTCCTGGAGACGACAGAGTCGAGGAGAGTGAGAAACAACGGAGCGTTCTCATCTAATCCAACATCAGCACGGCGTCATATTATGGGATTAGGAAGCACAGAAACGAGCGCGCGCACGCGGCGCACCGCTCGCCCACGCTTACCGGTGGAGCCCACGTCGATGAACGGGTAGTTGACCAACACCAGCTTGTTGAAGTTGAATTTGTAGGTGAACCGCTTGCCTTTGGTCTTGTGGAGGATTCTCTTGTTGTAGTAGTATCTGATGACAAAAACGGCAAACATGCGCAAGATTAGCCGCAGCGCAGATGTTATCTCGTTGTACGACGCGAGGGCAAAAATCAATATCGGGCAAGACATGATCATGTTTCGCTCAAGAATGAAATCCTCACTTGAAAACATTTTCTGGACTGACAATTAAGTAAGGTTCTGTTCTTAAAAGTTGGGCCACATGTTTTTATTGTCTTTATGGGCATATATTCTTTATCCTCTGACAGGCACGACTGATATTACAATGGCTTACAGAGGAGTGGCTGTCGTATGTCTGCATTGAAGTGAAGCAAATGTGTTTTGATGAAACTCTTCTCTCAAAGCACCACCGTAGAGGTCGATCCACCCTCGTCAAGGTGATTTTTAGAACTTTTGCTGGAGTCTTCAGGTACATATGTTACAAAAATTCAAATAATTCTTTTTTGAGCATGTCGCTGTGACTTTTGTTTACATTTCTTTTTCACTGTACAGTGATAAGAAAGATTGATTCCGTTTCATGTCCACCCAGCTGCTGGTGAAGCCTTTGTTAAAAGACGCAGATTACCGAGTGTTGCGTGACAGAGCGAACCCGCGGCGGGGTCAGGGAGGGG